TTTCAATATTAGAGAATTATCTTATATTATCTATATTTTTGACATGTTTATTCTTGGATCACAACCTTTTACTTCTATCTTACTGACATATGTCGATTAATAGCATTGCCTATTGTTGTTTATATTCATGATTGAAACGATTGACAAAATCAATCATTTGAAAAGGCTAAAGTATGAGCATATGTGTCACTATATTCCATAAAAAAATGATTGACAAAATGTTAGCATAATATATATATGTTATAGAATTGAATATCAATTGAAACATAAATTATTTACATATATATATATAGACAAACATGATTATGTTTAATTGAAGAAATGTCATATGTTGACTTGTTTTCCAATACATATACATATATGTTGTTTGTTCATTGTTATAGATTCCGTATCATTCCCAACGGGAACGTTCAAATATTTGAATATTTTTCTTTCACATCTTTTGTATCAGCAAACATTCTTGTCTTTTTTTTTCTCAAAAACAGCTTATTGATATAGAATAGAAAAGGTGTGATTCAATTAGAAATCGATTAACAGTATGCGTTGTGTACATATATATATCTAACGGCGGGAAAAATCAACAATCACATGTACGTCAAATATAGACATTTGCTGCTTGTTTGACAACTGTTCGTTTTTCTTTCTATATTCTTAACATCATCGTCTCGGTGTGAATCCTTCATATGGAGTTATCTGTCTGTCATTTAAAAATGTATGTTGATATACGTATTCTTTTCTTTTTTTTCTCTCTTATCTATTTCATTTGTATGCTTATTATTATTGTCGAGAGTCTAATGCAGGTGCACTACACCACAGGCAATTTATATGTCTATGTCGCTGCACGACTCTTATGTAAACAAAGAATAAGAAACTGGTAACATCTGATGGGAGAGAATACATGAAAATTCATCTTTAATACAGCAACAAATCTCTCTTGATGATTGAGAAAAAGAGAGAATTGTTCACAGCATTCCAATCAAAAAATCAACCATTAAAGAAGAAGAGAAAACGAGAAAGAGAGAGAGAGAGCAAGTAGAAGAAGAAAAAAGAGAGAGAAGGAAAGAAAAAAAAAGAAAAAGAAGAAGAAGAAGAAGACAACATACAGAAGCTTTGTGTTTATATATCTCTATTGCCTCCAGTGCATAATATACCAACCACTATCATTGACGATTCAATCTACAATACCAGATCAGTTCGTTAGTGACATTTTTTGGATAAATCAAGTAAGCAATAATTCTATTTTTTATACTATTTATTATTCATTCTATTATATATAGCATTTTATCGTTGATTAGATTTTTAGTAGTAGTAATTGAGTGTATCAAATCACTAGCTACTGATCTGATTTTTTTTCTAGTTCTAGTTCTAGTTCTAGTTTATCTATCTACTTAAATATATAATTAAAAAAGCATGATGTATCTAATTTTAATATACAGCTGTTTGAATCATTCTAGAGTAAAGCCTATCATCTTACATCTTTTAACACGTAGATGCCGACAGACAAGTATGTCATGCATACGTTAAACTGCTTATAACTCTTGTGCTCGTTTTGCGTCAACAGCTGGCAGTAGAAATAGCATCAATTCGATTTTGCCATCCATCAGTCTCTCTTCATTCTTTTTTGCTTTGTTCATAATGGGAATATTCATTCTTGCAACTTCTGTTTTAATTCTCCAAAGAGAACCAAATGGTCCCTTCGTAAAAATAAAAAACATATGTTCTATATTCTCTTCTCTCTGTTTGCCGCTTTTGCTACGCTAATTTTTAACTTATGGTCTACTTTCTTCTTCCTGAAGTTCATCTTGGAAACAGATGTCATATTTCCAAATAACATCTATGTCTATTTATTCATTTGTTAAACAGAAGAAGAAAAAAATATAGAAACGAAAAACAAAAACTTTCAGTTAGTTATTTTTTGCTTTATGCAAGTGAAAAAATGATTGATGGAGTTGTCGATTTTGACCATTACAAAGCTGGCATCTCTAACCTTTTCTATATATGTATGTATGTATGTAAGCATAGCTATCATTGATAGTAAAGTAAAGCAAATCGTTTTGTTTGATTGATGCGTGTTAACCTTTTGTGCAGCTGCTACTATACGTATGTGTGCACGCGTAAGATAGACAACAGACCAGATACCTGTCCATTCTTCTTCTTTTTTTTCTCTCTCTCTCTCTCTGTCTCTTTGCCTTCTTGTAACATCTGCATCAATCGCATGTTTATTCATTAAGGATTTTGCAGCTGCATAAAAACAGATGACGCTATGAAGAAGAGACGACGACGACACAACGCTGATGATGATGTTCAAAGAGAGAAAAAAAATTGCATTTTGTCACATGGCGCGACTAATCCTTAAACAAATACATATATATGTGACGCGTCATATAATTGAAATTATATTGTTTGAAGTAAAATGAATGAATGAATATCTCTATAGATTTGACGCCGGTTGGATTGCTTAGAAGAAAGATGATCTCTTTCTACTGTTCATCATTCTTATTGTTGTTCTTTGTCTATTAAGTGTTTGACGTAAGACAAATGTATACTTACGCTAGAAATGGATGTATAAAGAGAGAAGAATAATAATGACAGATTAGATAGCATAGTGTATATGTTTCTTCTCGTCTTTTCTTCTTCATCCATCCATATACATACACACACACACACACACATATGCAGACAGATAGATAGTTAGATAGATAGACAAACAGACGAATGCGAGCTCTATTGAATGTTGTTGTAACTTGAGTAGAATAGAAAATGATCGATAGTCATTAACTTATCTATATATTCTTTATTTTCTTTGTATTCTAGATTATTGTATCATGACATCGGCTACATTTACAAATACAGATGATAATTATTATGAATTAGGACAAGAATTTAAGAAACTTGCTTTACTTGTACCAACAATACCTAAAGATGAATGTCTTTCTGAACTTGAATTGATTGAATTTGTTATTGCTTATATTCGACAATTACAACAACTTCTTTCACATGATCAATGGAGTGAATGTTTAAATAAATTAGCATCATCAATGAAAAATTCTCTTCTATCATCAACAACAACACCACCATCTTCTCCACATACAGCAAATCTTTTAAATCAATTAATACTTGAATCTCCACGAACACAAACAAATGAAAATTCACCGACGATTCGTCGAAGTCCATTGGCAACTATTAATCTAGACAATACTCGATTATCATGAACAGTATTATATATATATATATATAAATATGTGTGTGTGTATGTGTTTGTTTATTTTGTTGTTCACTTGTTCTTATTGATTATCAATTTAATTATCTATTCTCTCTTGATTTCTGCTCAAATGAAAGGAATAAGCAAATACTCATTCTCTCTTTTGTATATTTATATGTTTTAATCAGCCACATCAATCAAAATTTGGAAGAACATATATACATATAATTTGATTTATAAGATCTATTATAAAACTTGTTATTTTCGATGACAAGAATTATACAAAAAAAGGAGATAACCTTGGATTACCAAATGACATGTTCTTTTAAATTATTCATTCATAATTATTGACTAACTTAATAATAATAATAACAACAATAAAAAAAATGTTTTCAAACTATCTATTCTTATTTGTAACATTTGAAAGAAAATGTTATCGAAACAAATATATCTTTTGAATTTACAATGAATATTTTAATTTGTTTTATGTACTTAAAATGATTGATGAAAAAACAATTGAATAGAATACTATAATAGTTATTCGTATGTTGTCAATAAACGAGATTAATAATAAATATTTAACTTTCAATAGTATAACACATTGAAAAAATTTAATTATCCGAAAATTCTCTTTAGAATAATTAAAATTGTTTAATGTAATATAACATTCCACACTTTTTTTTATCAAACTCGAATGTACTTTACATGCTTAAGATCATGAATCTTGATTCAAAGTAAATATATTTCTATTTACTTTACAATGATTCATTGTAAAAGTGTATTACAGGTAAACGCAGACATGTCAGAACTTTTTCAGTAGCGACGTACAGAAGCAAAATATTAGCATTTTTTGTAATTATTACTCATCTCTACGAATCTTATTATTGGCTATTTCTGTATTATAACTATTTTTAATAATGTAGGTAACATATTTTCAAAGTTTTGTATAATATCTTATAAAACAATAACGACATGATGCTTTAGAGTACAAATATGACATTGATATGTGATATTGTATACGAGAAAATAGTTTTTATTGCCATTAACTTCCCAGTCCTAAAAAATCACGTGAATTTAATTTCATAGGACAACCAAAATACGATACACAAAAAAATATTGCTTGTAGATGATGTTCAATTTAATTCTGTTAAACAGGAAAAAAATAGTGCTGTTAAGGAATAATACTAACTATAACTTTAACAAGGATATGTCAACATGAATAATATCATAATTTTTTGATTCACAAAAGAAATAAATATTTAATGGCACTAGAATTTTTGATGTTTTAGTTTAATAAATTATATGAAGATATCTTTCGGTAGCATGTAAAAATTTTATAGATTAAAGTGAAAATGGCTAAAGCAGTTGAAACAATAATTCCTTGTGAATGTTGTAATTCTGAAGTGTACCTTCAAGATTGGACAGATCATTCGGTGAGTAATTACTATTGTATTCTGATATATTACAATTTGTGTTTAATATATTGCAGAAGAAATGTTTTGATGATAGAAATAAATATATTGGAAAAGTAATAAAATGGTAATGAAATAGTTTATAATCAATTTGTGATTCATTTCTTTCTTTTTTAGTAATACTGTGAATAATACATCAGATAATGAACAAATTCCATGTGAATTCTGTAACATTCAAATTAGTATAGATGATTGGAATTGTCACTCAGTAAATAAATAATATCTATTATATTTAATTTGTTTATGTCATATTATAGAAAAATTGTGCTGATGCATATCGAAAACAAAATGAAATATTAAAAAAGTATATATATTCCATTTTTTTTAATGTATTATATTTATAATCTATATTTAATAGTATTAAAAGTCAATTTATTGATACATATATTCCGTGTGAATACTGCAATACTCAAGTCAACATACGTGATTTAGAATGCCATACAGTAAGTAAATGGAATTTTTTTAATCTATCTATCTATCTATATTACATTAAAGAAACAATGTGCCATTTACTATAAGCGTTTCATTGAAGAATCACAAAAGTAAGATAATGATTATGAATCGATTGATCATATTTCATTTGTATATATTGTAGTAATGAACCTACAGTTATTCCATGTGAATATTGTAATAGTCTAGTGAATGCACAAGAATGGAAAGAACATATAGTAAGCAAAATAATTGTGTTTCACCTAATCTTATACAGGTCAAATGAACAATAAACAGTAGCCCAGAATTAATACTGAATATAGAGATTCGATGAGCATTTAGAGTATTATGTATAATGCCTAATAGTAATGTATATTTTTTAAAATTAATTATAGAAAAAATGTATCGATGCTGACAAACAGAAAATCGAAAAGATGGCTGAGTAAATAAATTATATATCATAATTTTTTTCAATAAATATTTGTATATCTATCTCATAGAAGTGTAACAAAACGTTCATCAAAAGAAAGTATTCCATGTGAGTTTTGTAAGAAACTTTATCGTCAGAAGAAACTCGATATACATCAAGTTTGTTTTTTTGATGAACTGATTGAATGTTACATCTAACTATAATGATATTTTTTGTAACTAAAGAAAAAATGTCAACTAAAGCACAAACCATCAATTGTTCAAGCAATAGACAACCATCAAAAATTTGCTGTATGTTACAATAATTATAAATTAATCACTCTAATTTCTATGTAAATTGAATAGATTGTTTCACAAAATCGAATACCTGGTGATAATTTTCTTTTGTCAGATTGTTGGAATTCTCGATTTACAAAAAATCTTACTCGATATAGTCTTAATATTGATACAGAAGAATATCGATTTGTTGCAGATAATTTTTACAAAACATTATCATCATATCAAATTATTAAAATTGAACGAATTCAAAATCGACGTAAGTAAACACATATAGGATATTTATCTCTCAAATTTTTGATAGGTTGGTATCGTCAATATGAAGCTCATAAAGATGATTTTATTGAGAGATACGGTAATAGTACCGAACAATGGTTATTGCATGGTGAGTTAAGTAGTCTTTACTGTTTCTATTTTCATTATTGAAAAGAATAGGATGTCGACAATCAGATTCAGCTGAAGCTATCATTCTTGATTGTTTCAATCGTAGTCATGCTATTAATTGTGGTAACTGATATATTTTGTTCGAAAAAAACAATATCGAGTGATATCATTCTTTTCGTTTATAGTTGTTGGTCAAGGAATCTATTTTGCAACACAGGCTAGTATCAGTGATGGTTATACTCAACCTGATGCACATAAACTTCGACACATGTTTACGGGTATGATTGTAATTATTTAATTCAATTTTTATTTTGAGAAATTAAACTCATAGAATTTCTTTAAATAATATATATATGTAGACGTATATTGATTAGATGATTGTTTTCTCTGTTTAGCACGTGTATTAGTCGGTAGAACAACTACTGGAAATTCATCAACTCGAGTGTGCCCTACAGGCTTCGATACAACAGGTGGAGAAAATATTTTTGTAACATATCATGATGCTCAAGCTTATGGTCAATATTTAATTACTTACAGATAATACAAATATTCATTTATTTCTCTTACTTTTCATATATAAACTTAATGTATTTCTTTGTCTTTATATGTATTGATAATTTTTCTATATATTATTATCTAAAAATTTATAAATATCATGGAGTAGATATTATTGAATTATAAACTTTTATTATTCCAAATTCTCACTGTTTCAATAATAAATCATATACCACTTACAGAACTAGATAATGAATGTCTACGTTCATACTTGAACTTATTATATATATAAAATTAATTTTAAACGTTATAATAAAGAAGAAGAAAAAAGAATCATTGACACACTTAGTTCACTTAAATATATCTTTTTTGAGTTTCCGCTTGCTACATGCTACTTCAGTTAAATATTGCAATAATATAATTTCTTTCCTTCCGGTTAAGCACATTTGTTCGTTCGTATTCATTACTATATCTATCTCAGCTATATATATATAAATTGAACAATCTACATATATATAGAGGAATTAAATATGTACGATAGATGACACTACTATTCAATTGAGTTTGTAAATATGATACTATTTCATATAAAATTTTATAATAAGAACTTTATTAATATATTTAAAAGAAATATTTTCAATTATTATTTCAATTTAGTAATTTTTATTTTGAAAATAAACAAAATAATGCAATAACTTTATAAATAAACAAATAAACAAAATTGTTGAACGTTAGTCAGTGTGTATTCTTTTCTTCAGTTAAGGGAACATTTATAATTCTTTTCTTTTCTTTTCTTCGGTTAACTGTCAAGATCGACAGTTAGTCCTTTGGGATGATTATGACCTTGTAATATTTCTTATTTAGATTAGAATCTCAATTAAACATGGTTGCAACATATGGACAACGACAACGAGTATAAAATATAAAAAATAATAATTCTTTTTACCTAAAAATCCTATCTATTCTTTTTATAGAATAAACGTCGTTTTCTCATGAGTATCAATGGTCTTTTATTAGCATTAGCTATCTTTATTATTATTTCTATGTCAATCTATTGGGGTTTTTTTGAAGAATGGACCATTTGGACAGATTATACTATGGCTTGGGTACAATTTTCTTTTTAAAAAAACAAAATTATTATCTATATAAAATAAAATAATATTTTAGGTTGAATTCAATTTTTTTATTTATTATTGGGATCGTTTGACTATCACTCGTGTTTATCTTGCATTTATTTATATTTATGGTTTTGTTCTTCTTACAAGTAAAATCGAAAAATAAAAATTCTTTTTTTTTTGTCATTTTTAAATAATATATTTTTAGTTATGATATTACAAATTCATGGTTATCGTCGTCGAAATATATTTCTTATAGAATATGTACCATATTCATTATTTGGTTTAGCACTTGTAACAATACTTGGTGGTTTATGTTGGTTTGCGGTTACAATGATCAATATGAATGCTGGATTTTTAACAAAAGAAACATTTTTACTTGAAAGACTTCGTTTTAAAGGCAATGCATTTAAAGAATTAAAATATCGTGAAGAATCATTCCTTTTGGTTACATCTGGTCGTGTACCACCACGTGTTTTTATATTAACTGCTTTTGTTAATCAGTAAGAAGAAATTCTTTTTTGTTTTGTTTTTCTAAAAAAGATTTTGTTTTTTAATTTTTAGACGTCAACGAGATTTTCATTGTTGTGGTTGGAATTCTTATCTTGATTATGCTAATTCACATAAAACAGATTTACCAGATACATGTTGTCATAAAGTTTGTATTTTTGATATTTTCTAATCAATTACTATTTATTTCTTTATTAATTAGTATGAAACACATTATGGTTGTGGAAAAAATATGTTAATTAATCCTGATCCAAAAATAGTTAATACACGTGGTTGTGGACCATTAATGAAATATTGGTATCGACGAGGTTTTTGGGAAAATATATTTATGGGTTTATTTGGAATATTTATTGGTGTTTATATGTTATTTGTATTTCAACAGAATAGAAATGAATATGTACAATTACGTGATGAAGCTGATGATAAAAAACGTATTTTATATTCACATTCAATGGGATCACTTCGTTCAATGAATAGTAATGGAGTAAAACATCAAATGAAAACAGGTTTACCACGTTATTCATATAATGGTATGCGTGGTTCACCATCATATGGTACAGGTGCTGGTTATGAGTCAGATAATAATAGCTCAAGTGTACTTTATCAACCGCGTGCAGCATATAATCCAAAAATTTAGAAGAATTTCGTTTGTTTGCTTGTTTTTTTTTGTATATACATTTAATGTAGTCATTTATTATCTTAATGTCAGATATTTACACTTAATAATTAATTGCATTCCATTTAGTTGTATTTGTTTTGTTTTACTTTGTAGATGAAATGTTAACTCAATATGAATATGATAATAGTTCATCTCAAAAAAGTTGTTACAGTAGTGATACAAATGCAACAGTATCAGTTGTACAAAGATATTTAACCACAACAACAACAACAAATGTTATTTCATCAACTACACGTATACAAAATTCAATACCAAATATTAAAGTTGAATCATGTACAAAAGAATTTCTTGCAAAAAATTTTAATGATGTAAGAAAAATTTTCATTTGCCTGTTTTTTTCTTAAATATAAATTTCCAAAATAGGCATATCCAATGTTTAAAAACCCTCGTGGTCAATGTTTAATTATCAATGTATATAATATAAATGGAGCTGTACGTCGTTGGTCGGATTTAGATGTTAAATTATTAAGTGATCTTTTTCGTCAATTGTATTTTAATGTGATTGTTTATTCTGATTTTAATGGAGATGATCTTCGAGCAGAGGTTAAATTAAAATTTTAGTCTTGTTATTTTCTAGAAAAAAAAATGTTTCTTTCATTTTAATAGAATTTTAAGAAAATTCTTAAGCAATTTTCCCAGTCAAAAGAACATGCTAATGCACAATGTAGTATTATTTGTTTGATGAGTCATGGAGAAGAAGGTTCATTAACAGTACAAGATGGCAATAAGGTTTTTTTTCATAGGAATATTTTTTTTTTGTTATTAATAGATTTGAATTATTCCTATAGATTTATCATGATCATGTGTTTGATCTATTCAGTAATGTAAATTGTCCTCATTTAGCTGGAAAACCTAAACTTTTTTTCATACAATGTTGTCGAGATGGTAAAAAAAAAACTTATATATTCAATTTCATAAATAAAATTGATTTTTTTTTCTTAGATCCAGGTGTTGGTCCAGTAGATGATGCTGGTTGTCATGTCCAAATACCATCAAATACATCATTTGATGATTTAGTCTTTGATGATGATGATGAATGTGATAGTATGCAACGACATCATTTGCCTACAATGACTGATATGCTTATTGCATTTCCTTCACAAAAAGGTATATTTCCTTTTATATTTTTCTTTTTGTAATTTATACTAATTAAATTGATTATTCACATATATATATATATAGGTTTTACTGCTTTTCGAAAACCACATGTGGGAAGTTGGTATATGAATGCTCTTGTTGATATCTTAGCACGACATGCAAAAGATACAGATCTTTGTTCAATGCTTAATATGGTTAATGGTTGTGTATCACGTGAAGTAACAAATAAAGGAAAAAAACAAACAGCTGAATATAAATCATCATTTACAAAAAAAGCATTTTATTTTTTTCCTGGTAAAAAAAAATAATTTAAAATTTATATAGATTGATTTTCTTGCTTCTCTTTTTAAGGTTTAACAGGCAATCCAATTGCACCTATTGATTATTGTAAATTAATAAAATTGATTTTTGTTTGTCAATATTCTGTTTTTTTATTTTGTTTAGCTATTCATAATCGAAATGATGTTAATAGAATCGAAATAATAACGAATAATATTGATCATCAACATGATAGTTCATCGATTAGTTTTGATATAATTAAAATTTTTTTTATTGAAAATCTTCTTGATAAATGGAAATATCTTGCACGAGAACTTGATGTAGATGAAAAACATATTGATATGATATCAAAAGAAAATATTTCATTAAAACAAAAATTTTCATTAGTAAGAATCGATTTATTTTTTTTCTAATATTAGAATAAATATTATTTTATTTTAGATTTTGGATATAGTTGCTAAAATACGCCATAATGATTTACGTCAAATACTCATTGATATGCTCAATAGTCTCAAACAATGCCGAAGAATGTCACATTATTGTATGTTATATATATATATAATCAATGATCTATTTATTTATAGTTATGTTGTTTTTTACTTTAGATCAACTTCGAGAAATAATTGCACCATTCTATCCAGATTTACAATAAGTGTATTCATCCGTCCATAATGTTTTTTTTATAAATATAATTGTTCATTTGTACATGATTGTGAATGTATGTTTTTATAAATCATTCTTCTTTTTCTTTCTATTGTCGTACGATTATATAACTTTTGTGTTCGCGAGATAGTTCATAAAACAAAGGAAAAAAAAAGAGGAAAGAAAGAGAAAAAAAAAGAATGACGCGTTCAATAAATCATATTTCCTTTTCTCGCTCATCGTGAGTACTAGTTATATGGGTCTAAATGAGAATGCCTATATACAATAGATTGCCTCTTCTTTTGTCATATTAGATTCTTTTTTTTTCAGATAATTCTTTATACATAAAGCAAATAAGAATAATGGAGGACGAGCGACCAGCCAAAGGACCAAAAATTGTACCGGTATGTAAAAAAAATTTTTGTTTTATTTTTTAATTAATAATAATTATTCAATCTTATTTAGGTTAAAAATAAAATGCCGGCATCGTAAGTTAATTTTTTTATTTGAGAATAATACATAAAATTTCATTCGTTTTATTAAAAAATAGAATTCAAATAACAGCTGAACAGTTATTACGTGAAGCAAAAGAAAAACAACTTGAATATGTTGCACCACCACCAAAACAAAAAATTAGTGATCCAGAAGAATTAGCTGAATATCGTATGAAAAAACGTAAAGAAATGGAAGATGCTATACGAAAAAATCGTCAAAAAATGGTTAATTGGGTTAAATATGCTCATTGGGAAGAACAACAACAAGAAATTCAACGTACGAAAAATTTTAATTAAAACAAAAAAAGAAAAATATTTTGTTTTTTAGGTGCTCGAAGTATTTGGGAGCGTGCTCTTGATGTTGATTATCGTAATATAGCCATCTGGCTTAAATATGCCGAAATGGAAATGCGTAAATATTTTTTCATTGATATTTATTCGGAATTAAATAAAATTTCTTCTTTTAGGTTATAAACAAATCAATCATGCACGTAATATTTGGGATCGAGCTATTGCTATATTACCACGAGCTAATCAATTGTGGTATAAGTATACATATATGGAAGAAATGCTTTCAAATATAGCTGGTTGTCGACAAATATTCGAACGTTGGATGGAATGGCAACCAGATGAACAAGCATGGAATACATATATTAAATTTGAATTACGTTATAATGAATTAGAACGTGCTCGTATGATCTATGAACGTTTTGTTGTAACACATCCAGAACCTAAAAATTGGACACGTTATGCAAAATTTGAAGAACAAAATAGTTATATAAAATCAGCTCGACGTGTTTATGAACGTGCTATTGAATTTTTTGGTGAAGAACATATAAATGAACGTTTATTATTAGAATTTGCAAGATTTGAAGAACATCAAAAAGAACATGAGCGTTGTCGAATGATATATAAATATGCTCTTGAACATTTACCTAAAAGTTCATGTGAAGATATATTTAAAGCATATACAATACATGAAAAAAAATATGGTGATCGTACAGGAATTGAAGATGTTATAACAAGTAAACGAAAATTTCAATATGAAGAAGTATGAAGAATTTAATAAGAATAAAAATAAATTTATTTTGAAATTTTGCAATATTTTTTTCCAGGTATTGAAAGAAAATTCAATGGATTATGATACATGGTTTGATTATTTACGTTTACTTGAAAGTGAAGAAGAGTTTGCTATTATTCGAGAAGCTTATGAAAGAGCTATTGCTCAAATACCACCTATTCAGGTATGAATAGAATCTAAAAATGATCTCGATTAAACGACAGGAAATAGTACTTTAGAAACTCGTACTACATTCATTTGTAACGTAGTGTTGTTAGTCTGACGTAGAAGAATTTTGATTTTATTGGAAAATCTTATCTCATATCTTTCTGTTGCATTATTTTATTAGGAAAAACGTTATTGGCGTCGTTATATATATCTATGGATAAATTATGCTTTATTTGAAGAACTTGAAGCTGAAGATATTGAACGTACTCGTGATGTTTACAAAGCTTGTATAAATTTAATTCCACATAAAAAATTTACATTTGGAAAAATTTGGCTTTATTATGCTCAATTTGAACTTCGACAAAAAGAATTAGCATCAGTTCGAAAAATTCTTGTAAATAATTTTTTTAATTAATAGCATTGATTTTATTTTTATAGAATTATTGTTTTAGGGTACAGCAATTGGTATGTGTCCAAAAGATAAACTTTTTCGTGGTTATATCGATTTAGAAATTCAATTACGAGAATTTGATTATTGTCGAAGATTATATGAAAAATTTCTTGAATTTGGTCCAGATAATTGTACAACTTGGATTAAGGTAATAAACAAAAATGTTTTTCTTTTAGAAATTAATATTTTTTTTGTTTCATTCTAATTCGAAATAGTTTGCTGAATTAGAAAGTATACTCGGTGATATTGATCGTGCACGATCTATATATGAACTTGCTATTGAGCAAACAAGATTAGATATGCCAGAATTATTATGGAAAGCATTTATTGATTTTGAAATTGAACAACAAGAATATGATCGTGCAAGAAGATTATATAGTAAATTACTTAAAAAGACTCAACATGTTAAAGTAAAAATAGAATACAATTGATAATTTTTATTGATTTATTAATTTTTCATCATATTTATTAAAGGTTTGGCTTAGTATGGCACAATTTGAAGCATCAATTGAAGAATCAGATTCTATTGATCGTGCACGTGATGTATTTGAACAAGCTTATAAAACACTTCGAACAGCATCTGATAAAGAAGAACGATTGATGCTTGTTGAACATTGGCTTGATTTTGAAGTAATATAAAAATTTCATAAAAACAAATTCATTTTCTTTTGTTTGCTTTTTTATTATTATAGAAAGAAAGAGGTACAAAAGAAAGTGTATCTCGCGTTGAAAGCTATCTACCAAAACGTATTAAACAACGTCGAAAAGTTCTTACAGAAGATGGAGTTAGTTTAATTAATTTTATATTTCAATGGTTTCTATTTTTATTAATATAATTTGTTTTAGAGTGATTCAGGTCAATGGGAAGAATATATGCAACTTGTTTTTCCTGATGATGAAGCTGTTCAACCTCATTTGAAATTATTAGCTATGGCTAAACGATGGAAAAAAGGACAAGATGAAGTTCCAACATCAACGAATGATACAATTGATTCAACATCATCAATAACAACAGCAGAGGATAGTGTTCCTCTACCTGAATCACATATTGATGATGAAGAGATGAACGATGAATCTTAATTTGTTTTTTTTCTTGTGTAAACAATATGTTTGTGATCTATTTTTTTTTCATATCGGATGAAATAAGCCCTGTGACGGCAGTTAATTTTCTCACTGTGTTATAGATTATTTTATTAATATCGAATGCCGAAACAACGTACACAGACAACGACATTAGCTTCACCACCTGGAAATACTACAAGTCGTCATCGTGATACAATACCTAAGACTAATACATCATCGGACAATGAAGATGTCATTCCTATCCCAATACAGATTTTTTTATGGCGGCAGAGCAAGTAAGTGTATTTTATTCTAAGAAAAATAGATAGAAGATTTGTATTCATCTTTAGTCCATTTATCAAGCAAAAATTTGGTAATTTAACAGATGCATCTGCTATTGTAAGTCAAATATATGATTAATTTTAGAATAATAATTTTTTTTATTTTTCATAGAGTTTTGATCGAGTTCTCGTTCAAAATCTTTTACATGGCCTTTCACCCAGCCTTAGTGATGCCATTTCAAGTATTCCAAGATGGTTACTAATCAAAGTGGTAAGTTACTTTTGTTTTATAAGACATAAATATATAGTGTTTTTTTCTGTGTCTTTGAGGCATTTCCACATGTAATGCATGCATGTTCAGCAGCAATTGAGCATAGCCTTCATTCAATTCAACAACAACCATCAACTACTGGTCATCCAGCAGTACTTGTTTCATCATCTTTATCTCTTTCTCCTTCCGCTTCATCTCAACTTCAAGTTCCAGCTAGTCATCAATTACCTGCTAGTACTCCTAATTTACCTATACCTCTTGGTCCATCACCTTCGATAAATCTTGCATCAACAATTTCTGTCGAAAATCAATCTACTCATGCACCAGCAATGCGTCTCTCATCAGCTACACATAGTATAAGTAGTCATTCGTCATTTACAAACAAATTAAATGCAACTGAAATTCGCCTTTTTCATACATTACATTATCTTATATTAGATTCTCATAATCAAGAAACTTCTACATCTATAAATAATGATCAACTTTTACCATTAAATACAATACAATTATTTATATATTTATTTATTCCATATATTCATACATATTTGCAAAGTAATGAAAAAGATTTTTTAACTAATCCTGATCTTGCTCATGGAATGCGTCTTATATGGCAACCATTACTTGAATATCGTCAGCCAAATATACGAATGTTTAGTTCATTTGTTAAACCAATTATACCATCATATGCATCACCAAATGAAAATGGTGATTATTTACCAATAGTACATGATTATCAACAACAACAGCAGCAGCAACAACAACAACAACAACAAACATTTTATATAAATAATAATAAACGTAATCGTTTATCTGTTTTGGTTGAATCACCAACACCAATACCAACATCAACAAGAGCAATACTTGAAGAAGTTGATGAAGATCAACATTCTCTAGATTCACCACCATTACCATCATCATCTCACCCATTAATAATGAATCAATATTCAACACAATTACCAAGATCAGTATCGGAGAAACAACCATTATCTGATTTAACAAATCAACCATCTGTTATGGCACCTATTGTTAGTAGTGAAGGAAGTAGTGCAAGTTTATTTCATCCAATAACAACAAAAAAAGATCAAAAATCAATATCATCAGTTGTTGCTGATTCTGATACAGCAACAACAAATAATTCAATAACTGATCTTAGTGCCTATGGAACATCCAATGCTGCTAAACCACGAGCACCACTCGTACATATGAGTTCAATTTGTTCAATTTCAGATTCAAGTCGTTTAACAACATCACCACAAAGTCCTGGTAAGAATAAAATAAAGAATTCATTTTTATATTTATAAAATCCTCATTTACTATTTAGTTGATAAATATAATGTAGTACCAGGTGTTACTGGTTCATCATCATCATCTGCATCAACACCATCTATTCTATTACCATTACATTGTTCTCAATGTCAACAACCTGTATTTGCTCCTCATCATCCACCTGGTATTCCATATATTTGCTCAAGTTGTACAGCTATGAAATCAACATCTATACCAAAAACATCTCTTCCAATATCATCTGATCTTCCATTAGTTTCATTAAGATCAACTATTCAAAAAGAATCCATGCCACCATCACGACGTCATAGTTCATTAACAGGAAAAGCTCGTACATCTCAACGTTCATCTGAATTACTTCTACTTGCAACTTATTTTGATATTGGAATTTTACGTACAATGTTTAGTCCATCATGGTTAACCGATGGTTATTTATGGTGTTTAGAATATTTACATAAACGTATTATTGATATATCAGATGAAATTTTATCAGATGCATTAATGAATGGAACAATACCAATAAATATTCTTCGATTTAAAAGTCTTTCTATTCCACAATTAAATATTGGAAATGAACAAGATTATTATGAATATTTAAAAAATATTTATTTCAATGAACAAGTTACAAATGATATTATTGAACAACAATGTATGATGGCTGGTACAGGTGATACAGCAGCATCAACATCAATTAAACAACCAGCTACATTATTAAATGTACCATTTAAATATTTTGCTGGTAGAAGTCCATATAGTGGTAAACATAGTCAAAAATATGATAATTTTTATAAAAAAATCAGGTAAGAATAGATGATAATAGAAAATCTTCTTTTTTGTTTTTGTTTTTATTAATTTAAAATTTTTTATTTAATACAAAACTAAAAAGAGAAAAACAATTATTGGCTAAAGGGTAATTTAATATAGAAATAAATAAGTATTCTATGATTCTCATCTTTTTGCAATGACATTTTTTAAGAATTGCAAATCAATGAGAAATAAAATTTGTTTTTTTTCCCACTTTGTGTCTATATGTTAATATTCATTTGATTATTGAACAACTTTTCTAATCATTTTCTTTTTCTTTCATTTCTATTATAGTAAAATTCGTTATATTGATGAAGAAGGTGTTGAACATTTGGATTTGGCTAATACGGATCGTCGTGAACATTCATCGACATCAAAACCTAGTCGTCTTCTACTTGCTGATCCAGCTTTATTATTACTTAAAACAACAGCAATAACAACTAATGATCGATCTCAATTACCAACATCAATCATAAATAATACAGCTCGACAATCTATTGATAGTATATTAAGTCCTACAAATACTAATACACCAAAAATGACTGCTCCTACAGCAACAACAAATTTAAATACAATGAAAACTTATAGTGTTAGTGATTCGGAAATAAATTATAAATTTTTAGAAGAGATTGAAGAAGCACAAGGTTCAAGTGCATATATTAATCGTAGTGGTACAATAAATTTTGGTGTTGTACTTGCTGGAATACATGCTGTTATATGTAAAGAACATCATTTAAAAGTTTGTGAATTAGTTATGAATATTCTTGATGTTTTACTTGGTTTGGCTGTTATATCATCATCAGAAGATGATATGCATAAAAAACAATTATTAACTGTTGGAAATAGTGGAACAACAACTGCAGATGAACAAGTTGAAGAATGGTTAAAACAAATTGATGCAAAAGAAGAAGAAAAATTTCAATTAGCTGTTGATATCACACTTAGGTAATTATCGGAAATCCTGTTTCTTTTTAATTTATAGTATAGTTGCCATACAAATATCGAGTGAACTAAAGAGGATTTCTTCAGTAGTGAAAAGATTGACTATAGAAAATTTGATATACCATAGCATTTGGGTGATATGCCAACTAGCGAAAAATTTATGGTCACGACTTTGTCTGAAAGATGGGCGATAAATTAATCTACACCTTTAAGTTAGTTTCCTTAATCAATATTGAATAATTTTATTTTTAGAATAATCAAACGATTAGGTTGTCCTAATTGTCAACCACGTGGTCGTAGTTTTACAGCTGATCAATTACGTGGTAAAGTTCGTTTATCATTAAATAAACTTCGTTTACTTAATCAACGTCGATTTGAAAAGTATATTTATTATTATTATATTTTCATTCTATTAATAAAATCTTTTTATTCAATTAGATATTTTCTTAATTTAACTCTTAATGGTGATCTTGTTCATATACTTGATATATTTCATGCATTATGTGGTTATTGTTCGGAATCAAATGTTGGTCTTGCACATTATGCACCTTATAGTAAGATAATTAAAATACTTATCTATTTATTTATTTATGAATTTTTATTTCTTGTGTAGTTCCAACAAAAAGTGATACAAATCGACAAACATATTCAAATAATTTTGGTAATACACAACTTGGTGTTGGACCCAAAGGTATTGATGGATTTATATTAAATATAATATTTAAACCATTTGTTACACGTCTTATAATGATGAAAGAATATTTAATGAGTTCAGAAAATGTTGCTTTATATGGTGAATGTCGAGCTTTTTTAACATGTATTAAAGAAAATCATGGTGGAATCTTTCGTTTGGTGGTTTTTTCATCATTACTTGATCCAGAGAAAAAACTTAAAACATTTCAACAACAAGAATTAAATGCAAAAGCAAAATCCAAAGGAGCACATACATTTGCTCGGCATGATGCCACGAGTAGTAGTGGAAAAGGGGTAAATCTAATAAAAAGAAAATTATTATTTTTGTTTTTAAATTCTTCTATTTATTTCTCTAATTAAAAACAGACTTTACTTCGTGATTTATCAGAAGATGCTGATCTTGATCGACAAGGTAGTACTAGTCAACAATTACAAGCAGTTGGAACTGATGAGGCATCAACACCAAATATAGCATCATCAACATTTAGTATGAAATTAAAAAGTAATATATATATAACATATGAAAATGAAAAATTTAACTTATTATATTTATTTTTAAAGATGCACGTACACGAACAGGATCATTAATAGGTGGTGATGATCATAGTTTATATACACATCAAGAAGAAAGTTTACCTGTTGATTTAACACTTGTTCGTTTGGGTTTATTACGTTTAAATTTTATGATGGAATCATGCCCACCTGGTTCATTACCTGATCCACAATTTTTAAATAGTATTCTTATTTTGGTTTGTATTATTTTATTTTATATTCAAAAAATAAATAAAATATTTTTCTTAGGATTCACCCGTTATATCAAAAGCAGCATATCTTGTTGAATGTGCTAATTTTGTTCGTCGTTGTTCATTAGGCCAATGGCCAGAATGGATGCGTATTAATATGACAACATTTCGTCCTCATGAATCATATGCTGCACGTACAACAGGAAATATGAATGCAAGATTAACGAAATTATATCAAGCAGCTGCAGCAAGAATGTTTTATATATGGGGTGAAGTAAGTTATTGAAATAATCTTTTTTAATAAACGAATATATCTAAATATATATACTAAATTAAAATAAAAGGCTCTTTCATCACAACTTGAAACAATATTAGACAATGAACAAAAACAATTAGCGACAGATAATAATAATACAAATGAAACAGGAATAGGAACAGGAGGAGGAGCAGGAGCGACTTTATGGAATAGTGACGAAACATATGAAGATTACTATAATGAAGGTACAAATGCATGACACTTCATCGTGCACGTTGTTGTATTTCGTCAGTTTTATGTCTGTATATATATATCTGTGTGTGTATGTGTATGAATATATTTATGTTTATGTTTAAATATATTTAATATATAAATAGTTAATAATAATTTCTTTATTTTTGTTTAGCGGTTGTTAATCGTTCAGGTCATGATTGTCCATATTCTTTACGTATTATCGCTTGTTTACTTCTTTATGAAATTACATCATTTTTACGTGAATCATATGATAAATTACCAAAACTTTCAACAATGCCGACAACAAATAATAATTTTCGGCAACAACAACAGCAGCAACAACAACAACAACCACAACAACGTACAAATAATCAAGCAACAAGTGCACCACCAACTGTTGTTGAAACATCATCATCATTAACTGATAAACGTTCAAATGATCGTATACGTATGGGTAGTGTTGTTTCTCAAACATCAAATAGAAGTTCAGCATCGATGTCAAGCGAACATCCTGGACGTATGAATTCTATTTTGAAAATAAAAAAGAATTCTTAATTTAATTTATTTTTTCTAATAAATTAGTTTCACCACAAGCATCATCAGTTACAATTCCACCTGTATTAAGTACAATACCAGCAACAGTAATTAATATGAATCCATCATTATCAAGTGAAAGACATATTAGTTTTGCTGTGAATAAAGAAAATGATTCAAATGATAGTAATCATACAGCTGTTATGATGAATGATGAAGATGGAGTTATTATTATTGATGGAAATTCATCATCAGGTAATATTGAACGACGAAGTAAGATATAAAAAGCTTATTTTACTTTAAGATATAATATGATTTTTATTATCTTCTTTTTAGCATCTAATGCAACACATAAACCAGGAAGTCTTAGTGGTAGTAGTGGAAAATCAAAATTAATTCGACGAAGTAGTGTTAAATTAAGAAAACCATCATTAAGAATGAAAGAATCAGGCAAAACTATGAGTAAGTTTGTAATATCTAAAGGCAATACTAGAAAACAATGTAAAAATCATAGAATCCATTGAGACTTACACTAGTTTATTCTCTAAGATCGAATTTTGTTACCCAATCTATTTACAGATTAATTAAATCTCAAAGTTTACTTATTTTTAATTAAGATACTCGTCGTTCATCTTATCGTACACGTCGTCGTAGTCATGCATCAAATATATCTTCTGAAACTGATGGTCATCAAAGTGGTATTGGAAGTTCAGCTATGGAACCACCAGATGAATATATGAATAGTAATGATGAAGAATTTGATCAAGGAAATTTTGATGATATTATTAATACTCGTCCATTTCCATGGACAAAAGTTGTTATACGTATATTAAATAATGTTAATTTAACATGTGATCATCAAATAAAATGTGTATCAAATTGTTATGATAAACAAACATCAAGTTGTAAAAATCTTATTCAAGCATTATTAAATATGTATCGTTTATCATCATCAAATTTAACAAATATTGGTTCATCATTTTCTCGTTCATCATCATCAACGCATCGATCAACAACGCATTTAAAACGTAATGATACAACATCGAGCAAAACTCCACATGATCTTAAAAAACGACGAGTAAAATAAAAACACATTAACATTGAATATCATTTTATAAATAAAAATTACTTTCTTCTAGGTTTCAACATGTTTATTTGGTGAAGGTACTGGTCAAAATGTTGAAAATGTTACAAAAACTACGAATACAACTAAACCACCAGATGCACCTATGTATGGAATGGTTTTTGAAACAGCAGATCCACATCTTGATAAACAAATTAATACACATTTTACTGCTGTTGCTGCTTATCTTGAAAAACAAGTTCGTTTTGAAAATATTTCAATTAAAATAATAATTATTATTTATCTAGGTTGGAACATTAACACAAATACCATTAATGATACTTTGTAAATCATCAGTTTTATTAGATGATGAACATTATTCTCAAATACTTAATTTATCTTGGGAACTTTTATTAGATCATAATGAAGAATTAGCTGCTTGTGCTGGTACGAGAGAAAATAAAATATTTATTTTAATAGTAATAAATATGAATGTTTTGTTTCTTTTATAGCAACAATTGTTATTCTAACAGCTGCTCGTGCTGGTCAATTAGTTGATGCATTATTTCATACTGAAATGGAGAATTCATCTGCATTAATACGTTATAATGCAATATTAAAATTTCAAACATTATGGCGTTTTCGTTATCAATTTTGGATACGATTAGAAGAAGGTGCACATTCAATGATGAAGGTAAAATTTGAAGAAAAAAAGAATTTATACAAAAAAAAACTAAACATTTGATTTTATCAATTAGATTCTTCCACCAAGTATTGAATTTGTTTTACCATCACCAGCACTTGGTGTTGCTAATCTTCAAACAGTTGATCCACCATGGATGCCACATGCTAAAACACTTGTTCAACAAGTTGCTTTAAATCAAGAAGAAGTTGTATGTAGAACATTAATAAATGAATATATATTTATTTTATTAAATATTTTTTATAGCGAGCTGTTGTTACAGCAAGTAAAACACGTAAGAAACATCAACAAGAATTAATTCATTCAGCATTAATGGCTGAAGAAACAAGTAAACGAGTTGCAAGAGAAAATTTCGCTATGTCAACTGTACCAATATTACAATCAGCTTCATTCGAACCACTTTTACATCAACCAAGAGATGAAGAAGAAGAAGGTATGATAGAAAGAAAAATCTTTCTTCTTGTTTTGAAACAATAGTCATGATTATTTCAGGACATACAGATGATGATCGATTTGTTGAAACAAGTATTCAAATACGACAAGCACAAGGAACATTTCCTTCAGCATTTGGTGCAGCTGTATATCTTCTTGTTGAAATGTTAGAAGATGAAGAAACACTTGATAATGGAGCAACAGGTTTGACAAAATATGATTAAGAAAATAATTTATTTCAATTCTTTGTTTCTTATAGTATCAGAAGCAGCTCGAAAAGCTCTTTGGACATGTTTAATTGATGAACCAACATTATTAATTCGTTTTTTCTTTGAAAAACTTTCTAATAAAGAACGCCGTGTAAGTATTTATTTGAATTATTTATTTTTAATTTTATCTTCTTCGTTTTTTTTTAAATAATAGATTAAATCATTTCAAAGTCTTCGTCGTCTTATGATATGTTTAACTGATATTCCACCACAATTTGCACATGCCGTATTTAATTATGTTCTTGGTCTATTAATGAGTATGGTACGTTCACCATTAGATGGTTCACAAGAATTAATCGTAGCTGGTCTTACATTATTATGGCAAATAATTCCTTATCTACATGGTCTTGTTTTAAAAGATTTAAAACAAATTTTACGTAAAGAACAAGCTGAAATGATGATATTAATAACAGGTAGTATACCATCAACAAAAAAAGTTATTATACATGGACCTGATCTATCACAAATTCCAACACAAGCAATTATACAAGAAGATACACAATTTAGTAATGTTTTACAAGAAGCATTAGATTTTTTTGGTATACCTGATGCGAAACGTGATCGATATTATTTAATTGATGTTAAAACTCAACAAATACATATACCAGATACATATGTACGAGATTTTTATTTTTTTCGTCGAAATATCTATCCACAATTATCATTAATACATATGGATGCTAAACAATCACAACGACAACTTGAACATATGTCAATTTATTTAAAAACAACTGAATTATCAAAAGTTTTATTTGCTCGTTATTTACTTGAAAATACACCATATAATCAAATACATAATTGTGTTACATTTTTTCATGATGAACTTATTAAAAGTCCATCATTTCCAAGAAAACCATTAGAATCAGATTATAATTTATATACAAGAATATCTGATAAAGAATTATTTAATTTAGATATGTTACATAAATATAATTGGTAAGTTTAAAAAAAAGAAATCTAATCTATGATCAACCCTTCGTTATTATTTTATTTTTAAGGATAAAATTAATCTCCTGTTTATTTTTTAACATGGATGGTAAAACAACGACAACATGGGATATAACACTTTTTCTTAATGTTATTAATGGTGCATTTATATTACATTGTGAAGATTTTGCTATGTTACGTTTTTGTCTTGCAACATATATAAGTACAGCTAAACATTTTCGACATATATTCGCTACAAATGGGTTCGTATAATAATTCTATTTAATTTTCTATTGAATAATAATAAAAATATTTTTATTTTTAGTTATCTATTAATAATGCCAACATTTCTTCGTGTTTATTCAAATATTCAATCAAATCCAATGTTAAAAAAAGCTATTGAATATTGTTGTAGACAATTTTTTATTTTACATCGTATACCATTTATATTACAAATGCTTGGTAGTATATCACAATTACTTGATTTTGATGAACAAGCAGATGTTACTGATACAAATAAAATTCAACCAATAAGTTTATTTCGTTTATTAATTGCTTTAGAACAAACAAGTGTTGATGCAATGAGAGATGATTATTCAATATTAGAATTAGTTAGAGATGATTCATCATCAAATAAAACAACATCAACTATTATGCCAACAACAATGCCAACATCAAATATGACTGTTGTTGCAGCACTTGGTCAAGGAAATATGATTACACCAGTAACAATAAAAACTTTAGATTTTTGTTATGCAGATGATGATACTGTTTTTACTTTACTTAATTGTATTGATGTTTGTGTTACTGTTGGTAAGTTATATAGGAAAATCTGAAATTATCTATTTTTATAAATCAATATGATTCTATTATTTTATTTTTCTAGTTGCATATGCACCAGATTCTATTCGATCATTACAAATGCTTGGTATAATTGATTTACTCTTACCGAAATATTTAGAATACTTAAAAGATCGTACAAATAAAACTGATTCTCAAAAACAAGGACGTGAAGAAATGAAAATAATTGAAAAGTTATCTATTGCTATAAAAACAATGATAAATTCATCGGAATCATTAACACGAACATTTGTTGGACCAAAACATGATACATTAACAGGTGCAAGTTATAAACATTCACGTGGTTCAAATCGTTCACCATCAATTGTACCTGATGAAGATTCAATGAGGTAAATACATTTGATTTTAATTCTCAATTCAAATGAACTAATTCGAACTTCTTTTTTCTTTAATAATATAGTCGTTTTATTGATGATCGAACAAAAAATAAAGCTCAAGATGGTGATGAACATAAACAAGCATCAGAATTTCGTTGGCCACGTGATACACTTCTTTCAGTTATATCAACATTTGTTCATTTCTCAACTCAACGCTTAAAAGAATTAACTAAATTAGCTAATGATCCAACATTACGTATACCTGAATTACTTGATGCTAAATCTCATACACGTCTTGCTGATATAGCACATACATTACTTAAATTAGGTGGTTATGATCCAATAACAATGTCATGTCGTGGTATACAAAATTATTTTCAAAAATTATTACCATGTACTAATTGGAGTCAAGAACAATTACGGCCAGCATTAAATCTTCTATTAAGACGTATTGATAGAATGTTTTCAAAAATATGTAAAAAACCAATGACTAAAGTAAAAATTAACGAATAACAAAAAATATATAAAATTATGAAAATTTTTCTTTAGCGTTGTTTTGATTGGGAAGCAACAGCTGGAATTCTAAATGGAATTTATTTAACTATTGATCGTCATCCATATATAGCCTATTTTCCTAATCTTAAAGTATAAAACGAAATAATTTTTTGTGAAAAAATTAATTTATTTTATTTTGTAATATTTTAGGCATTGGTATCGGGATGTATTGCACTTGTATTAAATGAAAATGTATCGGAATCAAGTCATAGTGTACCACGTCTTGATACACCAGCTTTTCCAAAAGAATTTTCTCGAGCAGTTATTAAACTTGTTGGAAGATATTTATTAGCTATTAGAGTAAGTTTAATAAATAAAATAATATTTTAATTAATTTTTCTTTTTAAATTTTATCTATATAGAATCAACCAAACTTAGAAGCATTAACTGGAAATAGTTGGTCATTTCCAAATATACCATCAGCTATAAATCATTTATTACATTTTCTTTTACCATTAATGTTTTGGAGTGGTAGTGGACGAAAAGATGCACCTAAAATTCATTCAGTAGATATATCCTATATTATAACAATACTTATTAATGCACTTAAACCACCATCAAAACTTGCGGCTGCTATGGGCACACAAGGTGGACCGGGAAGTGGAGCACCAGGACAAATAAGTAGTGGACCAGGTACTGGTGGTGGAAAGCAACATTTAACTATTGGTGAAGCTATTTTACAAAATAGTAGTTTTACACATAAATCTATGAGACAATTAAAAGATCTTTTACAAACAGCATCTTTATTAGGTAAGTTGACATTATCTATACAATCAAAAAGAGAACAATGATTAATAGCTATCGGAAGAGAATTTGTTTAGTTACGATAAGAAATAATTGTGCTTTTTTTACATATGAAAAGATTACGCATGTTAATTCGAGTTTATCTCGCCTTAAAAATCATTGTATACTTTAAGCTCATTTTGATCTGTATCTAGTTACAATAATTTGTATACTAATTATTATTGACAATATTTTAATTTTTAGGTTTAAAAGTTTTAATTATTGGTTTTGCTAAACAATTAAAACGTGAATGGCAACGTATAGCTCAATCAATAAAATTAATGTGTAATAAACAATCAAATGTTTCACCAATACTTCTTTCATTTATTGATTTTATTATTACATATAAAACTCCAATATTTGTTATTCTTCGACCATTTCTTTCTCAATATGTAATTTTATTATTTTAAATTACTAAAATTTTATTTAAAATAATGTTTTTCTTATCTATAGATGCATTCAGTAACATCAGAAAATGAACGTGATTATGAAATGATTACAAATATTCAACAAAAACTTATATTTGATAAAATACCATTATCAAAATCAACCGGAGAAATTTTACATGGATTAATGCAAGAATTAAATCAATTAAAAGCTGAATTAACTGGTAGAGACTTTTTTTTCTTCTTTTATTTTATTTCAATATAATAATATCATTAATACGAAAAATCTCTCTAAAATTCTCTAGCTGCATCAATGACATTTACACGAGAAATGAGTCGTACAGGTTCAGGAGGTGGAAAAAAAAGAATTATTCTATCGAGAACACCTCGACGAAGAAAACGTGATGATATGCCTCTTATTCGTATACCATCATTCGGTTTGTTCTTTGCACGGATTTTAAATTAAAATTCTTTTGAGCATGTTTGCCTCTTTAGCATGAACAGTTTTCTTTTGGTTACTTCTTTAGTTTTATATTTCAAATAAAATATTATTATTATTTTTTATATTTATTTAGATGAATCAAAATCATTATTTCCTTATGAAACACGTCCAGCAGGTACTGAAAAAGTTCGATTTGATACTGAAGCACTCGAACAAATGAAAGATCGTGATGGTAATACAGGAATATCTGGTGGTGCAAGTGATGGACGATCAGGTGGTAGTCGCACAAATACCTATCGTGTTCGACGACAACAATCAAGTGATAGTAGTTTAAATACATCACCAAGAAAGAAAACAGAAAAAATACGTGTGAAAGAAGCTTTAGAAATACTTGAAACATATCGTGCTCGATATAGAATTCGATCAGGAGGTAAGATTAAAATCTAATATTTATCAGTCTGAAACAAAAGATGCATCTATATTTACTTTAATTAGCTGAAATATCTGATATACCAATAAAATGGACAAGAGATTTAACATTACAACGTCCTTCAACAGTCACAGATGATTTACCAACTCCTAGTCTATCTGGTAAATCGATCTGTTTGATAATCTTTTGTTTATTTTTAAATAACTTCTTATAATAGATGCTCCACGTATACAATCAACTAATCCATTATCACGTTCAGTTACTGTTGCTGGTGATCGAAGTTCATCAATATCTGATCGAACATTTCAACAATATAATGCACCAGAAGATGATGATGCTGATCAATCAACAACAGATAAAGAACCTACAACTAAATTACGTACATTTCGTGGTTGGAAACGAGATACAACACATTTAGATAAATCCCGATTAACTAAAGGTTTAATACGAGGAAATGTAAGTTATATTCTGTTGTTTTTTGTTTAATTATTAAATAAAATTTTCTTTTCAAAATAGATGACAAGCGAACCAACTATGACATATGATGCAACTAAAGAAATGAATGATATATTTCGATCAAATAGGTAAAATAAATTTTCATAGAATTTTCAAAAAAAACATTTTCCATATTGTTTTATTTCATTTTATTTTATTTTATTTTTTCTTTTTTTTACACTTCCAGTTAAAATGAGAAAGAGAGATCGAGAGTAGGTCGATCTTGCATTTTATTTTTATTTTTGTTTCTTTTTTTATTCTATCCTATTCTTAATACTTATTCTTCTTGCAATCCTTACCTTAAAACGCATGGAGAACGAAATCTATTACATATATACCCTGCTTTGCATGAATAAATCTTCTATAATATTTTTAAAGAGAATGAACAGTGAAGTTTGGTACGATCTTTAGCAATTTGTTATTTCTGCTTTATTTATTTATATTTGATTTTCTAACATATTTATTGTATTTAGACAAGCCAATCAACAAAATCTTGCTTCAGTATTCAATGAACAAACTTCTGATTTTATTGATATACGTGCTTCCAATGATCAAGGTGTACTTGCTTCTGTTTTAAATAATCCAGCAAATGAACAAATATCTTTACCTACTTCGTCTATTCCTTTGACAACAATTCTTCCAATACAAACAGAATCACGTCGAGATGTATGGATATCGCGTTCACCTAATACACCACCTTTAACTGAAGCCGATTATGAATCACAAGTTTGAGCTTGTTCTCAGGTCATTTTTTTTTCTTTTTTCTTTTCTCTGTATAATCGATTTTTAATACGTATAAAGAAAAAACAAAGAATAATTTTAATATTAATAAATAAAATATGTATTCATTCTTTATTTTCTGTATTTTGCTTTTTTTTCTCTTGCTATTTTTGATTTTCTTCTTTTTTTTTTCTCTTTTTTTTGTGTCACTGAAATTCTGAAAAATATATAATTATTAATGAATATTGAATAGCAAAATAATAAATAACAAATTTGACTTTCTAAATTTTCTTATCTTGTTAGAAAATATTTTATTAATCGTTCTCCTTCAGCTTTATGTTTATAGATAATCTATAAATGTTTTCTTTTTTCTATAATAAATAATAAGAAACAAATATTTGATTACATTTATTTTTTTTTCTTCAAAAATATTTATACTGGCAAGACTAGATATTCAATAAGCAATACTACATGTAGTTATTCTTTATCTTTTCTTATTCATTATAGTCTCTTCGCTCACTGATACAGATTTCTGAGTCTGGGTCCGATCCCATATCTATATATAACTTTGGATCCGATTTATGTTTAGCTTCAAATCTGAATAGAAGTATCTGACAAAAACAACAAGAAATAACTTTATATTGACATGTTTTTTCGAAATGAGTCGATCAAAAAACAAAAATCTAGATGAAGTGCTCATAGAAATATGTTTGGACAAAGAAACAAAAAAGTCTAAACACACGAAATTAAATAAACCAACTAATCAGTAAAAAACAAGATAACTTATGATCATCGGCAAACTTATTTGTCCAATAAACCGCTTTGAACCTGAATATGTATGTTGTCAACCAGTTCTTTTATGATCATTCGTGTATCCCGCATTCTAAAAAATAATTAACAAAAAAAATGAATAAATGAATAAATGTTAATATTCTTATGATCAGTAAGAACATCTACAGTAGTATGAAGTTAATATGAAAGAAGTCGAAAAAATCTCATCAAAATCTATTGCTTTTCATCATTTTTAGTATTGATAAAATGCATTCAATCAAAATTCATAAGTTACTTGATCTAGCTTTTTCTCATATCTCAAAATAACTTTCTCTTTAATTTTGAATAATCAGTTATATTGTTTATAAAATATATAAAAATATCTTACCGATTAAGTGCTTCAATAATTTCTTCAAAACCTTTTCCTGCTTTTTCCATATCAGAAGCAAGATCCTCTTCTTCCTCAGTTTTACATTCAATTATATCAAATATAACCACATTTTCGAGATCATTAACATTAAATGGAACTTGCTTTTGACCCTCCATGCACAATGTAAATGATTCATAGCATTGTTTAAGCAGCTCTTCGGGTGTTTCGCCTTGGACACAGCCACGAATGTCGAAGAATCTATCTCTATAACAGCCATAGTAATAACCATCCTCATCAGTATTATATATGAATGGAATATGATATTTATTATCTTTTAACGAGATTTTGCTAATATCACGATTATTGAGAAACGACATGATAAACGTGAAGATGATTGAAAAATTAAAATAAAACAATATATAAGATGATTGAACAAAGAAAAAGAAAACAATGTATTGATTCACATGGTACGTCCAGGATGACGACTAATTAGGCTAATATCATGATTTAACCGACTAGGATGCATTAGGCTCCAAACAGACTGAAAAAAATAGACGGATTAAAACTGAATTGACGAATAAATCGGCTATTCTAGACGATTTAAGTCAAAATAGACCAATCACGTTGTTTAATTCAACTTTAAGTTGACTCATTTTTTCAGTCTGTTTGGGGCCTTAGTAACTAATTTTTTTGTTTTATATGAAGTAAAAAGTTTTCATGCATTATTTTAATATGAGTTTTTGAATGGCTTCTACGTAAAAAATTTATATATATTTGAAAAACTATTGGATTATAAGATCTTGAGGGTGTGGGCTGTCATGTTCAAATATTGTTATTTTATAATATTTGAAAATTAGTGTTCAATTTCATGAATGAAATTTGTTTGAGGAAAATATGAGTTTGTCATATTCAGATTATCAATAATAATGTTCCATCATTTGCACAAACACACCTTTCAATATATCTTGTTGTTCATCATCAACAGACTTTTGAGATTAGTTCTTTATACACATATTATTCCGTTATCTGACATCACATCTTCTTTTGTTATTAGTAGAGATGTTGATCGATCAGCTACGACATTGTCACATACTTCTCATTTTGTCATACGGAAACATTATTCAGCAAGAAAATGAGAAAAAAACTTGCTTTGAACAAATTTTAATCTGACAAAAAAGAACACATTTGCATCATTTGTTTTTTTAACTAACTCATTCTAATATCTATACAATGGGCAGATGGCTGTTAGGAGAAACAAACTGGTGAAATTCATTGTCAGGATTTTTTTTATTTCCTTGTATAATATTTATCATATGCCTTTATGATATTTTGAATCTCACATAAAGAGAAACTGAGCGATGGGTGGGTGTAGGTGTGTCTGATTGTCTAACAGGCACACCCACACCCACACCTTTAATAGCGTATAGAAATGAACTGTATTTCATAAATATCAAATTGAATTCATAGAGATAACACTCAAGAAGGTCAAAAAAGAATATTTCATTCTAATATTGAGCTTTAATATTGTATATAGTCTAAAATTTGTAAGGATTGTTAATCTACTGTTTTAATGTTAACTTTACAACATGCATTTATTTTCCAGAGTACGATCTCTGCAAGAACATTTGATTGAAACTTCCAAATATTCTGTGTAACTTTAATAAACATCATCAAAACCCGACAGTTGTATCAACTTTCAATCAAAATCCATGTTGTTTTCATGTGTTTACTAATGTACTATGTTGTATCTATAGGTAAAACAATGGTTGATAGCAAAGAAAATCATCTGAAAAGGTTGACTGATTAAGTTGAATAATACATAAGATTATTTATTTACTTATTTTATATAGTTTTATAATTAGTTTATTCGTTCTTAATGACAAAAGAAACTTTAACAAAAAACTATTGCCCATTAATATTCTTTGTCATTAAAATCAGTTTCAATCATGTTCTACAGCGAATTTTTGTACACGATTGTTGAAGAAATCAACAACATACAGATTACCTTGTCGATCAAACGATAAATCGTAAGGAGTAAAAAGATTTCGAGGTCCTTTTCCACACCCCTCTCCGCCAGCAATAGTACCACCGAATTTTGTGCCTGGTACTGGTAGCCAGCGTGTTATTTGACATGTCACTGTATCCGATACGTAGATGTTATCCATAGAATCCACAATTACTGCTATAAGATGAGGTGGCTGATCGGGCTTCGTCTCGTGTCTATGCCCGTAAGCAACAATAGCTCCGTTTTTTGCATCTTTCTTCCATTCAATCGCTTCACCATTCAGATAATCCACTACATAAACTGAATAATATTCATCAACGAAAATATAAACAAAATTTTTTAACTGATCGGTCGAATCTGCATCTCGACTGATGCTTGCCACTTTTGTTCCCGTCTTTTCTTCTTCTTTCCACCGACTTACTTCACCTTTCATCCAATCAGAAACATAAAGATCACCATTATTATCTATTGCCAAACTCCAACAAACAATGTGAGGAATTATTATTCGTTGTGATGTTGTATCATGTTGACGAGACCATTTTACTACTCGATGGTTCCCATAATCACAAATAATAAGAGAACTATCCTTTTTATTCAAAATGGCATCTGATGGACGATTCAATTGATCGGTCCGATTTCCATCTCCGTTTCCACCAGCAACAACTTCACCATTGGTGCTGTTGAATCCCCATCTGACAATACGATGGTTGTTGGTGTCACTAATATATATACTTCCATTATCATCATCAACATAGACACTGACGGGCGCATCGAGTTGATTTGTTCGATTTCCTTCGTCATATCCACCAGCGACAGTCAATGCATCTTGTTTCCATTTTGTGTTGGAATCGATGACAAAAGAAGGTGATGATTGTTCTATAAAATAATAATAGACAAAATTTGCGTTTATTTTGTTTTTTTGCTGATCAAAATCAATAAAAATGCAGATGTGTTGAAAGAGAAGTTTGATTTTGCTAAGAGTGAATATATATCAACTACATGAAAAAAATCAAATAGGTTTCGCTTATTTTGATATTTAACTTTTGGATTCACTCGACATAAATCACATTTAGTTCTATTCAATAAGAGATATCTCTTCTCTGTTTGCAACGTCAAATAGTTGTTTACTCATTCTTTTTCGGAATAAATGTACTGGTTCCAATTCTAGTGGACATAAACTTTATATTGTTTTCAATGAATACGAATAAACATTCATGTTATATTCAATCCGATGGGACAAATGCATACATAATTTTGGTAATGATAAACATCACATATTCCTACAGGGATAAAACGAACTATTTTTCTCGAAAGTTGATCGATAATCGCATTATTTGTTTTCCTTTGTATTCATCGATTAGCTCTTGGGAAAAACTCTTTGATGTGCTGAAAATTTCATTACGGATTTGAAAAAACTTTTGATATTGTTGCTTTAGAATATAATGTGTAAGTTTTTATTATAAACAATGAAGTTCTACTTCAGTTAGTTGAAATAATTCATCTTATATTAATCTCAAAATACATAATTGTCTCATTTTGACTACCTGTTGTTGTTTCTTCAGTTGTCGATGTTTCTTCACTGTTTGTCTTTTTTGTTTTGAGCACAACAACTGAAATCGTTGTAATTAAAGCAACAATAATAATAATAATCAATACAATCCACATAAATTTTCTTTTTCGAAAACGTTCACATCTAGAATAATTGGCCTCTTCTATCATTTTCTACAATTTATAATATACATACAATGTTATTGGTTGCGTTGCATTAGGATTAACTGTTTCGGACTGAAATAATAAAAAAAAGACAAAGATTATATTTTGTGGTTTTTATTTTTTTAAATAAATTACATTATAAACATCGATTCTGTTGTTGTTCATTGTTGAAAGTGTAATACTCTTACAATCTTAAAAATATTTAAAAAATTTTTATCATTTATATATTTTCGAACATTAATAATGTAATTACAAAAACTCTTAACTGTTAATTGAAATCTATATTTCGAGTAATATCTAACATTCCTTACCGACTAGTCTGATGATATAAAAAACAAGAATGCAGAAACAAATTTAGATATTGTTTTCTCACTTAGAACTTTTTCAGTCCAATTTGAACTAGCAAAATTGTTAAAATAATAGAAAAAATATATATCATGCACTCTCTCTTTCTTGAATAATCAGTTCTTTTCTGACGCATATCATTGTGCTAATATAAAACATTTGCAACAAAACATCATATATCAATAAAAAACAATGTACGCATTTCCTTTTTCAATGTTAATTTTGAAAATACTCTTATCAGATAGAGTTGTTCACTTTTATAAATATGAAACTGTTTGAGACAACATTTAGTGTAATTACTAGTTAATAAAACATTGAAAATCAGCGCTGTTCAAAGGATATGCAACATTTCCTGACCGAGAAAAAACTGATGTTAAAATATTCTATTATAGAAGATACTTCTACTTGAATTGAAAATTAGACATTATCTATGATTAGAAATATCTTGGATTTTATTATATCACAGAATAGATAAATAGCAATGAAAGCGAAATTGACTGTCTTTACATTGTTTCAACCAGATGTCGGAATAGAAAATCCTGAAAAAAAACAATTAAAACTTGATCTACATTTAGTTTTAATCTATTGAGTATGATTTGTGAGTAGAGATAATCGTAACCACGATTGTCAGTACAATCATACCGCATGTGATACATACAGGTTTTCTAACAATTACAGTTGGATGTAAGCGTTTAGCGATTGTAGATATTATATTTTTCTCTCAATAAGTTCCACACCTTGAAAAACCTTTTCATTTTCTTTTAGTCGTTTTCTTCATTGATGAAACAAGTTTTCAGGTTGGTTTCTTGAGAATATAGTTAAATATATGTATAGAGAAGGTAAACACAAAAGAAACAGCAATTACATCAGTGGTCAAGTCGTGTATAATACTATGAAGTCCTGAAAACTACTGTATTCTTTTTGAATAAACATGAGAAAAAACATATGACAGATGAATGGACTAGTTTTATCCTCGATGCAAATTCATTCTCATTTTCATTTCTATTCATGTGAATCAATTGCTAAAGTATTTTATCGACGCAATATCTTTTTGAAAATAACTTGATATCTAACAGCATAGTTACAGCTTAGTTCTATAGTCATTCAAATGAATGCAAAATAATAAAATATTTTATTCAAATACATTCTTTGCTTCCAGGAAACTTGGCATTTCCTTCAAAAAATGCTGATTTTTAATGTTTTTTTTGTAGAAATATATTCATATTAACTATTATTTTAACTACCTAGTTTAGTTTCACATGCTATCTGGTATACTTCGACATTTACAGTAGATAACATTTTATTAAAAACTCATCCGAAACAAGAAAACGATCTTATTGTTTTCATTGACATATGATGTTTTTTTACAAATATTTTATATAAAAACGATTATGATAAGAACGTCATTTGATTTCTAATGATTAATATTATTCAGAAAATCATCATCTCGTTTGTTTCAATCTACAGAAATATTTCTATTTTATTATTGGTCATCTGATGAAAAATCTTGCAAATAATTTCTAAAATATATTCTTCTACATTTTTTCATTTATTATTATTCATAAATCATTACTTGTTATTGATATTTGTTTCCTATTGAATGAAATAAAAACAAGTTGTTGATTTTTTGTATTCGCCTACGTAATGATGTCAATGGGAACTTTCTTTTTTTTTGAAATATTTGCAACAAATACAATATTTGAATTTATTAATAAATAAAACATTGAATCCGTTTTCTTTTGCAAAGCTGATATTGAAATGCCAGACATTATTTGCTGTAAATATAAAAAATGTTCATGATATTGAAGTTTTGTAGGAAGGACGTGAAAACAAAGTGTTTCAAACAAAATTTAATATTATTCTTGTTAAGAATACATAAAAAATCAGGCCTTTATAGAAGAAATACAACGCTTCCTCAAATATAAAATATATCGACATTATCTATTATCTGAAGTGTGGGTGTGGGTGTGCTGGTTTAGGTTGGAAAGAATGTGGGTGTTTTGAGGGTCTGGTTGCCGATGTTCGGTGGAAGCACGTACACTTACGCTCACACGCACGCTCATTCACACCCACACCCACCCCTCAAATTTCGGCATATTTTGAATATTATTGGAGATGAATAAAAATAATTATATCTTTTGAAGTACTATTGAAACAAGTAGGATTTAGAATCAGTGATTATATTATCTTGCGGTAGTAAAAATAAGAGTTGACTTTATTTGAACAATATTATTTATGCATTGATCATCCATTACGAAATTTTCAATTCTTCTTTTTGTTTATAATCTCAAGATGGTAATATACCCCTAAGCAATAATAACATGATCTTGACATCAAGAAATTTAATATGAAATGATTGATGCTGTTCAATTAACTTTCTTTTTTTTTATGAAATATTCTTTTGTCTTATTACTTTTTTGTTTCACGCGAACAAAAAATAATTCTCCGTGGAATTCTATCAAAGAAATGTTATATGGTCTTATTCTCATACTAATTTAAAATAAATGAAGTTTATTATATTTTTTTTCCAATCTCGTAATACTACTTTCCTTAACAATCAATCTGATTCAATCTTTTTCTTCTTCTTCCTTTTATGACATTATGTAATAATAAATAGGTATTAATGAAGAGAAGGACTTTTAGCAAAATGCATACATTTCCATTATTTTATTTCGGATGTAATAATTGATTCATTATCTACTCAAAGTATCCTTTATTAACAGCATGTATGATAATTAAAAATTAATGGAAAATTTTCTAAGTTCTCTGATTATATACCTTTGTCTGAAAACCAGAATAGTTTCATTAATAACATATGAAGACTGAAAGTAATTTAACTACTACTACTACTACTCTTATTACTATAATATGGATTTTATTTGATGCTATTATCTAACTGATTGATCGATGAGATGTTGGTATAAGTATCAACATATAGATATACATATTAACGATTGATGTTTTTGCTATGTCCATTAATGCATTAGTCGGATTAATCATGTACACAATCAAATGCACGACAAGAGATTCTGAGAATGGATAGCCATCTGTGAGTGCCGCTTTATAAGACGTATGATATATACCCTATTTGCTAACTACTCGTATTTCCGGTCTGTCTCTTGTGTCCGTTTGACCTCTTGAAAGCGAGAACGACAGACAGGCATACAGACATACATAGAAGAAAAAAAGACACATACAGAGAGACAGAGAGAGAGAGAGAGAGGGAGAACATTTGCTAAGCTTTTTTTTTGTATCGATCATTTGCTTCTCTTCTTATTCTCATATTTGTCCTCTTTTATTTGTCTTATATTATAAACATAAGAAACAAGATAGATTCGTTGTCACACAATCTTACTCAATCAACAAGTATCACAACAATGTCTGAAACTATAGTAGAAAGCACATCTAATCAACCATTAATAACAACCAATGATATTGATATACATATTGAAGAAAAAAATTCTTTATCAGGTAATATTCTTTTATATTTAATAATTATCTTTATTTGGAATTTTATCTTTAGATCCAATTGATATCAAGATACCATTTGAATCATCACCATCAAATGTATCGAAAAAACAAAAATCATTAGTTTCAGTTTATGATAATTCTAATGATGGTGAACAACAACAACAACAACAACAAATCAATCAAAATTCTCTTCCATTAGTGGGTATTCTTGGTCGAAATCAACGTTCACAAGCATTTACAAAACGTCTTCTATTATCAGGTTTTCCTAAACCAATTTTATGTGATATAAATTCAAATGAAATAGATTTAAATGAAAAATCTAATTATGTATCATATGAAACATTTTATCAACGATCACCATCAATTATTCTTATCACAGATAATTTAATAAATAATTTCGATCATTTATTAAATCATAATAAACAACAAATTTTAATCGATGCACGAGAATTAATTTTTAAATATAATTCAAGAGTTTCCTCACCAATGTTATTACCTATACCTGAAACATATCGAGCTTTTGGTAATTTATCAAATTGGGAAATTGAACATGGTACGGATCGTGTTCCAGTTGCTGTTGAACAATTATCACCCATAAATTTAATAAAATTTATTTCTCAATTAAATTGTTTTTCTCGTGGTATTTATTTTCTTGATCAATATACATATAACAATAATCAGCGAATAAAATCATTTCAAAATTGTTTATTTCCATTTATATTAACAATGATTATATTTAGTTTATGTTTTATTATATCAATGATTGAATATAATAATGATAAAAATTCTTATCATGAATATTTTATTTATCGTCAAGCAAGTTCAATAACAGCAGCAACAAGTTTAACATTACTTTCAGTATTACTTTTAATAAGACCAATGATTGAAATCATTGAATTTATTTTAACAAAACAAAATAATAAAATTTTAGTTGAAAATGTTTTTACACATTTTCTATTTATTCAACGTTGGTTAAAATCAAGACGATATTTAGCATGGTATTCATTATCATTTGCTTTATTACATTTAATTTTTTTATTATTTTCAAAAAATGATCTTAGACAAAAACTAATGTTCTATCCTGTTCTTTTTGGTTTATTTACTTTAGTACTTTTATCTATTTTATCATTTGTTTATTTTCCATGGATAAGTGAACGTCTTTTATGGCATGAATATCGTTTATTAACATCTTATCTCGGACCATTTTGTCTTTTAATTGCTTTTATACATGTTTTTATTCATTGGAAATATGAATATTATTATTTATATGTGAAAGATTTATATCATTTAAAATTTCTTTCAATGATTTTACCATTTTTTGTATTATTATTACGTTTTATTATATATGGAATTATTTATCCAACAGTTAAATGGATTGAAAATCGACAAAAACATAACAAAACAACAATAAAAAATACAGTACATTTACCATAACTGTACCATTATAATGTTTTCTTTTCTTTTCTTTTTTTTTGCTCTATATATCTGTGGTCGTGTAATATGTTGTAGAAATAATTACTGGAAAAAAATATATAGAAGAAAGATAATAGTTTTTTCGGATAAAGGACAAGAATTAGCTACAGATAGCTAATCATATATGCGTTTATGTAAGAGAGACAGATGTTAGGTGTCAAAAAATAAAAGACAATATATTCTATGACAAGACATACTTATATATGAGATGATGTTCTTTATGTCAAAAAGATATAATTACTTTTCTGTTATGTTTATTAATAATATTATGAAATAAGTTTTGCTTAATTTTTTTAATAAAAATATCTTGTATAGTTATTGTCTTAGTAACAAATGAAAACAAGAACTTTGATCATTTGCAAACAGAAACCTTTGAATAATTAAGAAAACAAATCAAATGAAAATAAAGATTATATTTGCTCAGTTACAATATAAACAAAAGATTTCTTGTATTTTTATTTTACTCTATTGACTAAACAAACATTTCGTGTTATTGAATCCTATGATATTAAAATCATAATTGCCTAGAAATTATCATAGTTAAATTTTACTATGTCATGAATTTATTCAATGTTAAACGAAAAAAAAACTTTTTTTCTAATTAAATTTTGTAGGACTTCAATATAAACTATGAGGAAATAATCTATCTATGGATTCTATTACTATGATATAAATGAATTTCAATTATATTTATATTTGTTTATAAAGATTGAGAATTCAATACATTTGTTTGTCAAATAAATTCTTCTTTTACTATATTTACTTAAATTTAATGATATTGATTTATATCTTGTTCTTTTTCGAACTAGAATATATTATTGATTGTCACAATATTTTAAAAATAAAAGAAGTATAAATGACAAAATCTGATCACATTTTAGTTGTCACCATTTCTCATAATAATGAATTATATATACAGGAAAAATTCTTCAAAGGAAATACCGACGGGACTCTTCTTTATGACGTTTTATATTGATTGAGCTCTTACAAATATATAGTGTATGACGGGTATGATTGATCAACAACTATGCACCTTTTGTGTTAGTAATTCATGTCAACTATCGCAAAGTAAGAAAAGTCATACATCTTTCATCTACTACATAGTATTCAATTTGATAGAATAAAGTATATCTGTTTAGTTTTATGAAACAAAAATAGTCATTGATCGTTGTCTGTTTGATTCTTTTCCAGTCGATCAGAGACTCTTATATTTATTTGCAACTATATAGTTATGTAAGCTTTTCAGAAAGAGCTGACATATGTGTTTCTCATTATCACCATACAATCGTACGTAGAAAAGTGCTTTGTTCATTCATATGAAACCGTTTAAGATTCCATACGCACTATACAAATTAAAAAATCTGATTGGTACATTCATGTAATAATACTAGCCAAATTGCTGAATTCAGTTTTAATTTTTATAGTGTGGTTGACCGCTAACTCGTCATGAAATATTCATTTTCACTATTTCTTTTGTTTTATACACGTGATGAATTTTCTTGTTAATTAGTCTACCATAGCTTCTGAGTGTAAGGCTATGTTCTTTTCTTCTTTTGTTTCACGCACAGGCATATATTGTGTTGTACATGTTTTCATTATATTGAGAGCTTTTTACATTGAATGAATCCAAAAATTATGTTCATATTCAGAGTTAGAAGATATTCATCAGTAAAGATTTTATGGTATCATAAAATATAGCTCTTTTATAAAATTACACATCATATTTTTAAGATTGAATAGTTCGTGGCAATATTGATACTACTCACAAAAATATTTCGTTGTGCATAGTGCGTCATATGTATTACTTTATGATTATTTTCTTTCTAATCAAATCTTCATCACTATCCAATTTAGTGAATTCGAAAGTCTATCAGCTTTTTTTCATGAAATATTCGAGGATCATTAAAAGTTACACGAAATTTGAAAGGACGTACGATATCTTTAATGCAATTTCTAATTTGAATTAAGATAATACATAAAAAACATATCGATGTTAACATCATTAGGTAATATTAATTCTGTTTCACGATAGTATCCTACATGTTTTCATTTGCTATGTCTCTCTATGATATCTTATATATACTGATTAAAAATCGATTGAAGACCATCATGTCAATGCTTTTTTATTTGTCATCGATGACACATTGCAATTACTCACGTTCAAAAGAGTTGTATTTATATAAACACAATTGGTTTCCATAGAGAAAGAAAATATGAATGATTGACTTGCAAAATATAACAAATAAAAACAGTTAGAAAAAGAAATGTATAAATATTTATTTGGTTTAAGATAATTAAACAGACTTTTGATGAAACATCTGCAGTGCAGTAGAACAGATTCCGTCGTCTATGATAGCTATTTTTAAAAAAATTTATAAATAAACATAATACAAGTATGTATCTTTTCTTTAATAATTTTACAATATATGTTGTTCATTATGTGACACAGCATAAGATGTTTCCATCTCCGAATATAGCCTACTCTATCGTAATAGATAAGATTATTAAGATTTATGTGTTACATATCATCGCACAGTAAATGATATTGTCAAGACATGTTTATAATGTTCTACAAAAAACTAATAAAGAAATGAAAGAAGAACAACGATCGTTGGATTGGTAACTGTTTTCTAAGACATTGACAATATTTTTCTTTTCAATATAAGTCGAGTACATCTTCTATACTACATTATTATTAATAACTATTGATGGTTTCAATAAAACATAAATTTATTATTATGATAAATCTTCTATTCTTTAATACTATATTTTTATTGAAAAATTAAATAATAATTTTTTTCAATTGCTATTCTATTGACGATAAAAGAAAGCCGTAAAATAGATATCATATTATATTTAATCTCATGGTATATTATCATCATCGATATATCTACACAACAACTTTCATGTGTTCTATTTCATCAATTAGAACATAGTTTATTTTAATATATTCAGATTCATTTATATTTGGTATTACATTTTTACTCTGTCGACAACAAATAATAAAATTCGAATGATAACTCATAATAATATTTTTATCGATAAATGATGCATTATTTATCGATATTCATAAATGAGCGAGCAACTAAACGTTCGATAAAATAACGAAACACTATTGGTCATCAATAACAAAGTTCCTATAGCGACTTTTTTTTTCTTCAGTACATTTCCAAAATGCATAAGTATGTTAACATCAATTGATTACTAACGTAATATTTCTCTGTTGTTTTATAAACGACAAAAACTATTTAAATTTATTTTCTATTTTCTTTTCTATGAATCATATTCTAATTTCTTATTTAAATATTTTAGTAATGACTAGAACTTATATAGTTATATACGAATAAAGACGAAGAGGAAAAAAGAAAATCGAGGGATAAATGGATTCGTCGTTTGTTCGTTCATCATCCATCTATCTTACCCTTTCTCCTTCTCATTACATTTAACCAGTCATCTTTTATTCTTTTGCTTTCGCTCGTAAACAGTTGACAAATAAAGCCAAAGTGAAGAGGCTAATAGCATATATATGTATACACATATAGATATAGATATACATATACATATATATATAGAGAGATATATACACCTCGCCGGACTAGAATAGTCGATTTCGAGTGTTCGTCCGTTATGATTTCTTTGTTTTTTTCGACGCGTAGATATTCATATACCACAAAGATATTTATCAGTGTCATCTAGATTTTCTTTTACATTTTCGATTTCATTCTCTAAACTTCTATTTAGAACGATTACACAAAAACAGTTAATCATGACCAACAGTGACGAACTTATTGTAACGACAAAATCAACAGCAATTATTAATACTAATGCTAGTACAGCTAATACTAATACAAAATCAATTCTTGATGATCCAAACTGGAAAGAAAAATTGAAATTACCACCAAAAGATAATCGACCAAAAACATCTGATGTTACTAATACAAAAGGACATAATTTCGAAGATTACTGTCTTAAACGCGAATTACTTATGGGTAAATATTACCATAAAAACTTTTCTTATACAGAAAAAAACATGTCGTTTTTTTTTTCTCAAATTCTAGGCATTTATGAAAAAGGTTGGGAAAAACCATCACCCGTTCAAGAACAATCTATTCCTATTGCCTTAACTGGCCGTGATGTTCTTGCACGCGCAAAAAATGGTACAGGCAAAACAGGTGCCTATACTATTCCCATCGTCGAACGAATTGATCCAACTAAAAATGCAATTCAAGCAGTTATCTTAGTTCCAACACGTGAATTAGCATTACAAACAAGT